TTTCAAGTTTGTGAAGATGAAAAGAATCAAAAATCCTAGCAAAGACAAAGGTCGCTATAAAAGGGGGCGGCCGAGCATGCGGCTCACCTGATGGTAAGTGACTACCGTCGCCCATGAACAACTGCAACACCAGGGAAATTTCAGGTGCGTTTCCGACCTTATAAAAAAGAGTATACTCTTTCTTGAAGATCCCTAAGTCGTATCGGTCCAGAAAAATGGCTGATGGTGGCTGATTCCACAAGGAAATTGTGCGTGGGAGAAAACTTCTGGTAAATCGCACAGTGGTAGATCGCCAATCATCCAAATAGTATGGATAATATCGCGAGTATTGTCGCGATGTGCGGCGGTGGATTAGTCCGAACAATTGCACTGATCACTATTGTGGATCTACCACAGTAGTGCTCTGAGGAACTATTGAGATAGAATATGCAAAGAGATGCAACATCTCTTCACAGTGTCAGTGAGTCAAGCCGAACAGAAAGCACTCGGTCGTCAATTTCGAGCCGCTCTGCCCTGGAGGCGGTCAAGTGGAAGGAACTTGCACTGGGGTGCCCCGACCAAGACATAAAAACAGTATTCAATGTGTGGCCGAATTTGCGCCTTGTTACACTAGTGGACTCTTTCTACACAAAACACACTTTAGTCTCGTGTGTGTATATACATTTACTGAAACGCTAGTTAATTTTTATAATTTTCTATTAGCGATAACGATTATAGAAAGTCAACTTGGTTAACCCCGCTAAAAATAAAAGCCCTTATTTATTCTTTATTGTGCACCAAAATACAGAAAACGAGTAGAGGATTATTTTAAGTGATCTCTTCCAGAGGACCTTTACTTATAAGATGTAAACAATGGTTGAAATAGAGGGGAATGTACAAAAAAAAATATAAATACACATAAAAATAACTCTACATTTGTTCTTATAAAATGGCACTCGAACTTACAAGACCACGGTAAGTAGCTACTACAGGCTATGGATACCTACATACATATTATACAGCATGGCGGGTCATTCCGTTTATCCGCCCTAGGGTGGATTACTCGGAAAAGCATGTTCGTTTATCCACCCCAGGCGGGATGGATAATCGGAATTCGTATATTACCTGTTTTTCTTCCGATTTTCTTTCTTGGCTGTGTACAGTCGTTTATAAAACATGATAGAATCTTGCCCAAAATTACTTATTAGACATTATAGCATACTTATAAAAATACCAAAGAGATTTCAATATATAGGTATACACTTAAATGTCTTTGAAAAGTACATATACTTCTTGACTTCTTGTATAAAGGTCAAAACTGAAATATTTTATTGCTCAATTACATAACATTCGATGTGGCATAATTTACGTCATTAAATATTAACGATAATATGATGGCGTTTGTAAATTACTTTGAAAAGAGATGGTTCAAGGAAGAAATTTATGTGGCTGTTTGGAATTTATTCGGAGTGTCTCACAGAACTACAAATTCATTGGAATCATGGCATAAAACAATATCAAATGAAATTAGTCCTCAATTAATCATCCAAATTTAGTAGTTCTTGAATTGCTTGCAAAAAAACGCCGTTTTTTGCTAACACATCTGTTGTAACAAAGAAATTTAGAAAACTGTTGCAAATGTACATTAAAAGGGACGAATTTATACAGGATATACAATTACGTCGTCTACTCAATAATAAAATTAGTGTTGGTCATATCCTGGACATATTGCAGAATTTATAATTACTTAATATTATTTAAAACGAAGAAGTTTAATTTGGTTTAATGTTTCTAGTGTTCACGAGGTAGAGCCACGCTGCAGCTATACAACATGTAACAAAAACCCTGTGGTTCCCGTTAAGTACGTTATCAGGATCAGTATTCCAAGCTATAACTTAACTTTTTTTTAAAAAAACTACAATATCTTTTATTTTATTAAAAAAAAATTTATGTGGTTTTACCTCTTACTGACAATAGCCGATGCTAAAGCTAAGTAAAGCGGGGTCTTGAAAATCCTCTTACTCCCCAGACAACGCAGAGGTAATAAAGCCACATACAATTTTTTTTAATAAAATAAAAATATTGTTAGAGTTAAAAAAACTTATTTCTATACGTTTAAATAATGATCCTGATAACGTACTTAACGGGAACCACAGGGTTTTTGTTACATATTGTATAGCTCGTGCAGTCGCATATTTGTGCACAAATATATCGACTCAACCGGAGAAGTACCACATTCTCACAGAATAACTAGCGTTAAATACCAGCTCTATGCAGTTTTTCGTATCGTGATTGTAGAAAACCGATGGCTCTTTTTTTCTGAAAACGAGGCATATCATCTTAGTCCCCAGGGGTAACATCTCATTTGCACCTTGCTACTTAACCGGTTCAGTGCAGATGGCACGCCAGGCGTGCCATCGATTACTTTTGTGTGTGGCGTGACACGCGAGTCGTGTCTTTTGAAAAATTTATCCAGAACAAAATATTCATTATTTTGCAAGTAGTTCATGCCCACAGCCACGTTTCTGGATATTTTGAAAATTTGAAATTTTTAGGAGTTGACAACCTTTTTTTAACCTGTACATGGTACTCTTTTTACTTTGTGGGTTTTAAATCATGTTGTGGAAAAATAGTCTAATAAGTAACAAATAATAGCACTCATTGCGATCGCTCACAAACTCAAGTTGTAAATAAATTTCTGGAAAACAAGTCTCCTGTTAAAAAAAAACAATGCGTTTGTCTTATAGTTTAATTTTGCTTAAAATGGTTGAACTACCGTCTTATTACTATCATATGGCCGAATAGACCTACGAAGTACCATGTGCTCTTGTGATATGGTATAAGGTTTATTTTTGCTTGAAACAGTTCGAAACCGTTCATACATAAAAAAAGTTCGTTAATAAATAGTCTTTTGTCAATCCGCCGCCGTATAGCGCCGGCGTTTTTTTCCTTTTGAAAACACTTGTTTTGCTATTCTTACTAATTAGACATTTTCAGATCGACTTCACTTTTACATTTGTATAACATTAAATAATATTTAACATTTGTAAATATCAATGAAACATAAACCTGATTATTTTCCAAATTAAGGTTCTTGATTGTTTGATATTTACAAATGTTATTATTATGTGAAAATTTAATTTAATAAAAACCGAGGTTTTCCAGGATGATTTAGCTGTACCTTAAATGATTTTTTTATAAAACAAGAAATAGTACAAAAGGTTTGTAATCTCTGGATAAAAAAGTCACTCAATTTCAAAGAAAACACGTAGTTACCCACTAAAAACAAGTATCCTTCGGTTTGTCACTGATGTTTGATGTGAACTAAACTTAATTAGGTCTAAACAAGTGAAAAAAGCTTTGAAATTGAGAGTGACTTACTTAAATCACCCTGGAAAACCTTGGTTTTATTAAATTTTGACTTGTTTTCCAGAAATTTATTTAGTACTTGAGTTTGTGAGCGATCGCAATGAGTGCTATTATTTGTGTTACTATTTTCCCACAACATGATTGAAAACCCACATAGTAAAAAGAGTACCATGTGCAAGTTAAAAAAGGTTGTCAACCCCTAAAAATTTCAAATTTTCAAAATATCCAGAAACGAAGCCGCAGGCATGAACTACTTACAAAATAATGAATATTTTGTTCTGGATAAATTTTCCAAAAAAGCAATTTGAGCGAGTAATAACGATTTAAAAAAAGACACGACTCGCGTGTCATACGCCACACACAAAAGTAATCGATGGCACGCCTGGCGTGCCACCCGCACTGAACCGGTTAACCTATTAAAACAATCTTCAAATAAAGAACTACAGAGGCATTAACATTTATAAGCTAAAAATATCTCATCCAAAAAAATTATAATCACTACTGTCAATACCTTTCAAACCGGAACACTGCTGTGTAGGCACCATTATTTGGCAGCAGAAATAGGTAAGCGTGGACTTAACCAGACGACTCCTAGGCAGAAAAAAAAGTAATCCTACCTTTAGAGGGAATTGTAACAGATTATAACATAAATCATTAGCTGTAGCAAGGTTTGAAGTGAAAGAATTTAATCGTTTTGAATTATTTTATTAGATATTTAACAGTAATTATAAGTAATAAGTTTTTTTTTTTAATGAATAATGTCTGAATTGTCACTACATGGGTATTATAATTATTATTAATAATTTGAAAACAGTCTTTGAAATGTAATTTTCAGTAAAATTCTATTTCAAAAACAAATTAAATGCAATTGTCAGTTCTCAGTTTCTTGACAAATTTCTTTCTAAGCAGTAGAACAGGTTTAGCAAAGTTGACTTTCTAGTCAATTAACACTAATGGAAAACTATATAAAATATTTAAATCATTTATACAGTTTCCCATTAGCCTAATATTGTAGAAAGTGCAGTTATCTAAAGCCAACTAGATTTTACACTGGCACATAGGTTTTCTTTCAGCTAGCTATTGAATATTTTTGTCGTGAAACTTAAAACTTACAATCACTGTTCTACAATCATGATATTAATATGTACACAAGTAAAAATATTTACAACTCATTAAATTAAATACATAAGCATCAAAGTCACAAACTCTCATGGTTCCCCCGTACTAAAACGCACGAAGACCACCCAGACACAAAAATGCTTAACACATCTGTATCACTAACACCAGGCATGATGTACACAACCATAATCCATTTCCTACTCATACATCAAAGTCAAGCAAAAATACTAATCAGTGTTAGGTACACATTAACATGGTCAAAGTCCTGCTTTGATATTTCATAATCAAAAAAGGGCAAACTAATCATTTCTCTCACCATGCCACTTAACCCTGACTGGAACTTAAACTTACATTGGCAAAACGAGTAATGTTCCTACAAAATTCAAATCCAAGTAGGAATGGCCCATCATAACATTTGAGCATATAATCAAGTGGTTCCAACATTACCCCGCAAGAAATGTTTGGAGCTAATAGAACCCACTATATACAAAACATGTCCTAATGAGATATCCAACAGTCTCCAAACTGCAACTTTAGTTTGGTAATGTGTCCATGAGTATTTCCTTTACACCCGTACTTAAGCGGTCGGGGAATTTGATGTCAAACGCAACAAGCAGGTCGCCTTTCCTTGTTGGCTCCTTTGGGAATGGTAGGCCATATCCTGGAAACCGTTTTACTGTATGTGGTTTGACTATTTCACCTTGGAGGTTCACTGTCAACTTCTCACCAGACATTGTTGGTACTTCAATGATTGTGCCACAAAGAGCCTGTGAACAAAGAAATAAACATCGATTAGAAAACAATGTCTACCACATTACATTTATAACGGTAAATGCAAATAACATCCTACAACATAGGGCAACTATGATAACTATCCCACCATGAGGGAAGGCCCATGTCCAGCATTGGACTTGGATAGGCTGTAATGATGATGATAATAATATGTTGTTAAAATTCATTACAGTACTAATATTAAGTTAGTAATTTATTGTGTTAAATTGTTAACAACCTATTGATATTTTGAGCTAAGAATTAATTTAAAAAAGAATAATGTTAAAAAAAATATATTGCTTACTTGTTTGAGTGAGATTTTAGCTGTATATCTTATGTCACTGCCTTCTCTCTTAAAGAGTGCGTTAGGTTTGTCTCTAATGATGAACACAATGTCAGCAGGGATCTTATTCCGGCTCTGGTCACCTTCCTTTTGGAATGTGATCTTGGTGCCAGCCTTCCATCCAGGTTTGACATGGATCGTCAGAACCTTATCTTCTTTTTTAGATGTACCATCTGGCTGCATGACACGACGGGATATCTTCATCTTCTTCACACAACCGCGCGCAATGTCTTCTAGCGATACATAGAGGTCATGTTCAATCGGTGGATCCTGGGTCTTATCTTTCCTGTTTGGTGAGCCATGGACGTTGAAACTGTGACTACGGAACGCGCCACCTGGACCTTGTCGCGCTTGTCCCATTCCCATGTTTGCAAATGGATCCATATCGACATCCATATCACGATCGAAGAACATCGTAGTGCCACCACCGCCACCATTGAGATCGAAGAAAGCCTGGAAGGGGCTGGCAGAACCGAAGAACTGCGCAAAGGTGGCCCGTGGGTCTCCGTGGAACGTGTATGAGTAGGACTGTCCACCACCCGGTCCATTTTGACCGCCCATTCCTCCTTTTAGACCTTCCTCGCCGTGCGCATCATAGATTTCCCTCTTTTTCTTATCTGATAATACTTCATACGCTTCCGCAACTTCTTTAAACCTTTCTTCTGCGCCTGCCGCTTTGTTCTTGTCTGGATGGTACTTTAGCGCTAACTTACGGTACGCCTTTTTTATTTCGTCGTCTGAAGCGCCTTTTGACAGGCCCAGTATTTTGTAGTAATCTTTACCCATTATGTTGATTCAACCTATAACAAAGAAAGCACTCCTGTTAGCTTCCGTACACTGACACCATTTTAGGAGTGGTAAAGCGATGAGCCACGCAATCGCAATCCTATTCTACTAGTCTTATTTTTTAATAATTTAGACCTTAGGACTTATAAAATTGACATGGAAATAGATTATATAAATATATAAGAAATACTTACAATTACACGTTCAATGAAAATCCAGAAGAAACTAGAATAAAAATACTTATAAAAAATTTCACACACAACACAACTCACAACTTCACACTATCTACTTCACAAATGAATGAAACGCAGCGCCGTCGTCGCGCCAAAATATATACATTAAAACGTCTAGAACATTCTAGGGCCTTCACTTGGTGTGTAAGCGAGATAAAGTATTGAGCATTCCATAAGAAAACTACGGAGATAGACAGAGATGCATATAAATTTGACTGTTCAAAGCTAGAAATTAATGGGTTCATGACTTCAGCTTTTACGTCGGGAGTAAACACAGCGTGTTCCCCTTTCTCAACGATTATCGTTAACATTTTCATTTTATATGAATAATAATATGTAGAGCGAATGGAATATAATATTCAATTGAATAAAATCAGTCGTTAAATATTGTACTTTTTACTTTTAAGTTTTATTACTCAGTGTAAAGAAAGATGTATTTCCATGCTTAATTACCGTTTTGTAATAACTTATTTCTCAATATAATTTAATATGAAATAAGTAATTTATTACTAATTTTGAACAGATGCTCCTCGATATCTAATGTTTAATATTATTCCGATTTCATTACTAAAGAGCTGGAAATTTTATTAAACCTTATACGTACTTATAATATTTATACTATATTATTTTAAATTACTGTCGAAAATAATAATAACAAACTTTCAATGGAATTTTGATATTATGATTATAAATGAAACTAATTTTAATGACTTTATCACGTTTAATTTTAACTTTTTAATTCTGCCTCAGAAATTATATCAGTTAGATAACCTACATTAAAATTTAGTTTTAAATTTAATACTAATTAAGTAAATTTTATTTATTTATACACAAAAATTATGCAATGTGCGGTATTATTGATGATAGCAAAAACTTGGTAATTTATAGCATAAGTAACTTTTTTAAGTTATATATCCCTTTTTATTACTGATTTATTCTATTTAAATTAATTATACTAGTTTTAATAAAAATAAAATATCCCATTCTAAAATTAAAACATGCTTTAGTTCATTTATGACGTTTACGGAATATGATATCGCGTTTTTATACCACCACAACCTATATATGCAGTAATCTATGCTATATATCACCATAGATTTACAGAATGTATAATAGAAAAATGTAATACCTAAATAAACGCACACGAAACTATAAAAGTTGTTTTTAAAACCCTTCAAAAGTTTAAATGAATTAAGTGAATTTGATAATAAACTTATTAAGACACGTGAATGCGATAAAATGGGATGTGGGTCAGGCACTATAGCGCTGCGCGTTCACGTGTTTTTATTCTAGACAGTGATTCTATTGCAAAAAGATCAAGTTTTTCGAGCTCGAATCGAAAGGCGCGGCCAACTGATATAATATGCAATATTAAAGCCTGGTTCCAATTAGTTTACAAAATTTGCGAAATAATTTAATTTATAAAAAAATTTCCGTTTAGTTTTGATTTTTGAGTGATTCTTTTTGTAAATAATAGTAGGTAATATGCCGACGGTTTATCTCCGTTAGATTTTACATAAAAATATATACCTAAATCACTACGTTTAGATGTTACTGGATGTTACGTTCTGTGCTTCACGGCTAATTGTAAATGACTTGGACAGAGTCCAAGCTCCAAGCCAAAGAGTGTTGTACGAGGTACCTACCGAGCTTTGATTATATAGACAAGTATATAATCGAAGTTAACGAGGTAGGTAGGTACCTAATAAAAATGAACTCTAATGTAAAGCAGTGCTTATTTAGAGATTTTTTTCACAAATCTTATAAAATAAGTACCTAACCAAAAACCGAATCTATTTTTTTAATGGAAGTATGGGTGATAAATGAACACACTGTCCACCTGATGGATGCTGTGGCCCTCAGACACAACATCTATCATTGACTATGACGAAATGCTTCCTTATCAGTAAAGGGTTCGCGTTTGCTGAAATCACTATATGAAAGAGCAGAATTATTATGCTGCAATTTTACGTTAGTAACGAGAGTGAGCGTCGTCTTTTCCCAGTCGAGTCGACCCTTTCATGCTGCAGCTATTATGGCTTTATAAAAATGTGGTGCAGGCATTGAGGTAATATTATGTTACTCATATTATCTCAATGGGTGCAGGCGTAGCCTAGCGTATATATAAGTGAATATCTTATTAATGTTTTAAAAATAGTTTATGTGGTCGTTTTTATTTTATATAAACAGTATTTTTTATTGGGAAATACCTATGCTCATTTAAAAAATAAAGATTATTAGATTTTTGACATCTCATCTACGTATATTGTCCTACATTCACGAACTATTTGCGTGAAAACAAGATAAAAAATAATACAAAATTGTATTATTGTTTTACTGTATTGTTAATAATTCATGTGAGGAAAGAGCAAGGCAAGCATTGCAATATGAATTATGGCTACTATTAATAAATTTCTACTTTACGCCTGCCCAAATTCGATAGCAAAAATAATGCCAGCAAGCAAAGTGTTAACAACCAAGTTAACGAAATAAAGTAAAACTATTACTATATATTTTTTTTCTAATTATTATATTTCTGTTAATTATTATATTACGTTTCGAGGGCAATTTTTGCTTGCCGCTTTTGCTTTTCAGCGCCAAACATAAATCATAAAAAATACCTACGATCTGTTAAATATTAGTCCAATGATAAGTTTCTATTAGTATATTATATTAATTCGCGTTAAGCATTAATAATGTAGGTACCTATAAAGTAAGCAAAAAATATGAAATTGGAGTTCACCACGGTTATAAATATTCTGATGTCCTTTTCATTTTGATTTTCAATTAATTCTTTAGTTCTCAGAGGTGATAACACATTTTGTAGCATTCTTAGTTAGGCTGTGCCGCAGGTGTTCATGGACTGCAATAACCATTAGCTAATAGTACGTAGTACTATTATTTGTTCTGTGCTATTAGCTAGGCTGTAAGTTCAATTGATTTTATTTTTAAAATTAATGGTAGTGGGAAGTATGAAGTTCATAGAATTATTACGCAATAATTTTTGCTACGTAATAATTCTATATGAAGTTGCTGTTGTGTACACTTTGAATTAAAATTAAACTTCAGACCTCTAAGATTCGTTACTTAAACCTTTTTTATTTAAACAAAAAATTATGACATTCTAAATTTAAAAAAAAAATGACATTCTATTGTTTGACTTTCAATTGTTTTTACATTCAGTATTTGAGTTAAACATGGAGACCTCAAAAATTATTTTTTATATTACTTAATTTTCGAATACTAGTGCCGAAAGTGTTCTGGAGCAGCAAAGACAATTCGCAGTGTCAATACTTTGTTCGGAGAGGATACCTAACGAACGTATAGTACCTACATTTTCGGTTTAATCGCTTTTGTAGCGGACACTTCGAATTAAAGAATGAATCACGAGGAATACCAGACAAGTATCCAGACTAAGGGTAAATAGCGGTGAATTAAAAATAATGGTGGAAGACGATACTCATCAAAAAACCAAGAAAACCGTTATGGTTTGATGTTAAATTACCTACAATATTGACTCATTTGCACCAAATTGGTAAAATAAAAATCGAGAAAAGAGTGCTTCAAGAATAAACTGATGTGCATAGAGTAGTATGCGTTAATGGTTACCTAACTTTAAGCATAGCTACAGAAATGAAGGGATTTTGTTCAGATTTGTAACGTGGGGTAAAAACTTAGTCCATTCGACCAATAACCACTGTTCTAACCTGACCTGTCCGAGTCGGGGTGCCCCAAGTCCCGAGCTCGCTTCGCTCGCTTTTATGGTCAATTATTAACAACTAAGTTGTATTTATGATCGAACAATCATCAATAGCGATGGAACAAATGATATTTAGTAAAAATTTGGATTTACCACACTAGGATTTTCACAAGGATAAACATCCAGACCCGAAAGAATTGTAATGTAGGCCATACAAATCCTTGTTCCATACGGGATTTGAACCCACGGCCCTTATCCCTGGATCTCATTGCTAAGTCACGGACCTGTCTTATATTCTTGGTGTTGACTTGTTGATTTACTAATTGTATGTTGATTGATTTTTATTGACATAGAAATTTAATAATTTTTACACAGTTTGTAATAATAACGGTAACCAATTACTAATATGTATACCTATTGTTTTCTTTTATAATAAACAATAACTTGTTTGATGGAAATTTTGGGATTATGACACTAGGTCTCCTAATCCCAAAAGATAAAAAAAGTTTTTTTAATCTTTATTTTCAAAAACGGGGTTTTGTCATACAGTGGCTATGTCATTTCCGTAATATGTAACAAAGCTACATTCAAAATAATGATGATGAATAATAATAATGATAATAATAATGATGAAAATAATGATGAGAGGATAGAATAGAGAGAGTAGGGACGCTTTTTGTTAGTGGTTTTCTGGTGGTTTTAGAAGTTAAATCTGGTGGGGAGCTAGTTTAACTGTTTGCAACACTAACCAGCGTTCAATTCAGAACCGTATGATAATTATCGTATACATGCGACTATTTCGTACCTACGTACGATGTACGATAACACATTATTATCGTACGCAGATTTTACGATAATTTCTTTCATGATGAAAAATTTGAGAATTTATTTTATTTTACTTATACGCTGATAGCCTAATGGCGGATTCGACCAAATACCATATTACTCCAGAGTAACTAACCCTCGAATAATTTAACTCTTTGGTCTGTAATTACTGCGCCAAAGCGTTGTCACTCCACATATGGCCACAGTCATATGTGCAGATAACGTCAGTTCATTGTTCAGTGTGACGCCGACCGAGTTTAGCCGAACGATCCGCGACAAAAAATGGGTAAATGCGTAGTGAAAGAATGCGATTCAAGGTCACAAAAACATAATAAATCAAGCGGAATCACTTTCCACACGTAAGTTTTACTATATGTATTCATATTAACGTAAAAAAAAGGCAAAAATGAAATAAAATATCGAATATTGCAATTTAGGTCGAATTAATGGGAGACTATATAATTTATGGAATAAGTTAATTTGCTACCTCTATAATAAAAAAATTATAATAAAAACTATGTTTCAACCTTCATACAAAATAATTAATTATTTTTATTTTGGTTTATTCATGAATGATCTATTAATTATATTTTATTATTTTATTTTATATTAATAGTTTTATATTAATAAATTTGCAGGGTACCTAAAGATACAGTACGCCGTAAGAAGTGGGTGGAAATAATACGATTGCTGAGAAAGGAGACTGACTGGGTGCCTTCTAAATCTACTCTCATTTGTTCTAAGCACTTCCGGGATCAAGATAAACTAGGACCAAAAAGCGATTGCGGCCGTGTTTATTTGTCTAACGAAGCAATTCCAATCCTTGTTATAAGTAAAGATTTAATAAGGTAGTTAATTCATATTGTTACAACATAGGTAATATTGGTCTATAAATAGCTTTTCTTAAAAAATTTATAGCAATGTGTAATGCAAACTAATTTTGAACTTTGCACATTATTATTATTAACTAATTTATTTCAGATTAATTAAACTATGATTAATAGTTTTTTTTTATCTTAGTAATCAGGTTTTATAGTGCTCTTTCAACTGCAATAATTGATGGATATTTTTCAGGATGAACCTCATCTTGAAAAGCCGGCGGAACTTTTAGTAGAAGAAAATATGGATGTTGATGTTGTGGAAACCGATGAAGAGATAGATGAAATAACTGAAACACCGCGAATGCACAAAATGAGAAAAACAATTCACCGTTTGAAAATATTATCCGCACGAAGATTAAAAAAAATAAAAAATATATCACAGAAACTGAAAAGACTAAAAATAAAAAATAAAAAATTAAAAGATGTTATCGAAGAACTGAAAAAAAAGTATGTTGAGCGAAGAAGAAGAAATGTAGCTAAATTTGAATGAAGAAATATTGCAATTGATGGAAGAATTTAAAACATCCTTCAAAGAGAAAAGAAATTTTAATAAATTTCCTTACGTGCTAAAGAAATTTGCATTAACATTAAACTTTTACTCTTCTGCTGCCTATAAATATCTTCGATCCGTATTCAACAACGCATTACCGCATCGGTTAATTAGTATAGCAAAATTAACGGGGATCCTGAATTTACGTTGGTGGCTTTTAATGTTCTCAAGGTGAAAAGTGATAATTAAGTCCGAGATCATTTGTAATTTAGTTATCGATGAGATGGCTATTCGTTAACAAAAAAATTAACTAAGTAATAGTGTGGCTCAGTCTCTTCATTTGGCCAAAGATTTGCCTTCTGAATTTTCAGAAAGTGAATCTTCTGCAGAATTTATTAAAATACACAATTATATTTTTGATGTATTAAATTCCAAGGGAGACCCCAAAGCTTATGGCCATAAGAAAAGTCTAAAACCAGAAATAAAAAATAATATATATACGCATTAATTGAAAAACATAGAGTATGTTACGACTTAAGTGTAGAAGTGACAACAAAAAAAAAATTAAGCGAAGGGTTCAGACACGCAAGATAATTATAAAAAAAAATATGAAGAAAGTGTTAGATTGCAAATTTAAAACAGGATTTTGGGTTTTTTAATTTGTCTGAAAAGTTTAAAAGTATTTAGTCTAAGATCCGGCTTAGTAAAATTCTTTCCTCATTCTTTTCCTTGATAATTTGTTTTTTATAATAAAATATACAAAATAAATACAAATCAGGGTATTTGACATCCTATGTTTTGGCAAGGCTATTTTTAATTAAAAATTATTTAATAAAAAAAAATTACCGGTTACGGTCATTCTTTTCCTTGAAAAAATATACATAGAAAATGCCACAGCATTGTTGACGACTACCTTTTTCTGTACAACAATACCTGTCAACCAGGTGTAAACAGGTAAACGGATATAGTAATTTACTCTTATTATTTTTCCAAAAAAATGAAATGTGTAAATATAGATATTTTTATTGCGAATCCAATGGTATATGGTTGATTTTTCAAATTGTGGCAAGACTAGTGATTGACATGATTTAGCTTTTCAATAATTTTATTTTAAAATAGAGTGTAACAGAGAACACTATATACAACGTGTAACAAAAACCCTGTGGTTCCATTTAAGTGCGTTATCAGAGTCGATATTCAAACGTAAAGAAATAACTTTTATTCAAAAAGCTTGAACATTAAAAAAACTAATTTGAAATAAAAAAATTAATTAACAAATTGTATGTGGTTTTATTAACACTAACTGATACGAGAATCGGTAAAGGGGGGTCCTTTACAATCCTCTTATTCCCCGGATAGTGCAGAGGTAATAAAACCACAAACAATTCGCAAATTGTTTTTTTTTAAATTAATTTTAAATTTTTATGTTCTAGTTTTTTGAAAAAAGTTATTTCATTACGTTTGAATACTGACTCTGATAACGCACTTAACGGGACGGGAACCACAGGGTTTTTGTTACATGTTGTATATATTATTATGTGTGGTAGGGAAGGATGCACGATAGCCAGAGCCTGATTAACACGTGGTAAACGATATTACAAAGAAGTCTTGCGAGGGCGAAAGCTCCTAGTAAATTGCGTATCCGGCAAAAAGGTGGTTACAATAACAATGCTAATGTTGTGCAGTCGCAAATCAGCCTACAAAAAATTATTGAACCACCTTGAATTAAAAAAAAAACAGTTTTGGAGGCAACTGTGTGCCCCTTGAAAAAATTAATTTCTTGTGATCTACAACATCTACAATTGATAAGGATCATATAGAAGAAATTAACAAGTCTTCCTTTAATCATTGCCATGATGACATTGACGAGAAAAAACACAAACTATAAAGAATAATCAAAATGAAGCAGATTTAGAAAGAAAATAAATCGTGCTACAAACGAACCTTTTTACGAACGTAACAAAACAAGTCATTGGATATATTTCCGGCTATGTTTTTAATAAAATTTGTCAAGATCTTAAATGTGACACATGCATCAAAGTTTTACTAGCTACAGAACTGGAGTGGTTTAATAAACTAATTAATATGAAAGATAAAGTACGGATTATGTTACCCATCAAAACATGCGTTTGAAATATGCATGAGTTGTGAAAGCATTATAAAACATGCCATAAAACTTTCCGAAACTAAGTCTTTGTCTCCTAAATTTGATCTCATGACATTAGCTACAAAAACATTAAAAGAGCTTCAAGGAAATAAATTATTAAAAGAATTAGCAATACACCCGGGGGATCATTTATCTTCAATACAAGTTAATCGTTCCCTTTTATTGATTAATGCCATTATTTATAAGTACTTAAAAATATGATTGTATCATGAAAGTATACACTTAAACACACAAAAAAAATCTAAAAGGCAATTATATAACAAACTGACGCTTCATAGCGGAGTTTGAGAGCATTAGCTGTTATGAATATTTAAGCGGATTAGTATAAAACCATTTAGTATTATCTTAAAAATAGACTTCCGCAAAGTCACGCCTGAATCAATTAACTATCTTCAGTATTGTTGTAAAAAAATAAAAAATCTTTTTAACGTTGTTAAATAGTATGGATATTGTATAAACAACAAAATCAACGAAATTTATTGAAAACCAGAGTTTTTGTAGCTAATGTCACGAGACCAAATTTAGGAGACAAAAACTTACTGATGCTTTCACAACTCATGCATATTTCAAACACAGATCTTCTTGATTAAGAAACCGAAAATTGTTTTATTATACTTACTTCTGTTCACCTAATAATAAAATGTACAAATTTAAAATAAAAACAATTAAATGCTACTTTAAAAGAAAACAACTCCATATTGCTTATTTTGGGTAAAATTTCATAAAATATGCAACTTCACCCCACCATTTGTGTCTATCTTTATCTAATCATAGCGACGGTATTGTTTTCGCGACTTGTGTAAGTGAGACAGATATATTATGTCTACTTTAAAATTCTAGTGATTTCAAAGCTACGTCGTCGCGTTTATATACCTAGTGGTTACACTTTTTCGGCGCACGGTCTAAGATTTTTTTTAAAAGTAAAGTCTTTTTTAATACGTCTTTGCGCACGGTAATGTGGTTTGCTACTCTAGTTTAGTGTATAAAGGCGCGTCTCCACCAAAAATGTTGACAATTATGTTTCCAACTGTTGACAAATCAACAAAAGTTGACGACATATGTTTCAAAATGTTGCAAGAAGCATCTCCACCGCGGGAACAAATGTCGGCAACAAGCGTATTCCTTTGGTGTTGCCGCCGAAAATGGAAACACGATTCCCGACATTGTTTCGTTTTGTTCCTAAAACTAGGTGATTACAGAAACATTTGTCGGCCACACGTGTTGACAATGTTGTGTTGACAACACAACTTTGGTGGAGACGCGCCATAACATGCGTAGTGTTTCTATATTGTTTGTGGTGTATAACTCAATGCTCTCAGATAACTTCGTTTGCGTTTTTCCAACACAAACGTAGAGTAGCTAATACTGGGTATTGTTACTCTAGAGTTGGTGTGAGCTGATGTAAGCTCAGAATACTTTTACTCTTATCGGAGAGATCTAAGCCAACTAAAATCGAAATATTCCACTTATAGTTTGCCGGAATATAATATTGTCAACTGTCAGAATGTCACTGTTCAGATGTTCAGGTTGGTTCAGGTTCGTATTAGGGATGGGCAAGGGGAAAAATATACCGATATATATTGAATCGATATTTTTAAACAATATTGATATATATTCAGTGATATATCGTATTCATTTGCATGATTTAAGGAATAGGTTCCGTAGACGACGAAAAAACAAACGACAACTACACATTATTACAATATTTTCTAAAATAAATATCGATATGTTGCGATTAAAAATATTGATGACATTTATTGATATTCTGATGAGCAAATATCGATTTTTGCCCAACTATAGAGTACTTGCACTTGCATTCGTATTCGTATATTTTTTTTTAAAAAAACGTCACCCCCACACTAGGATTTTCTCCTATGTCGTGGAGGCAGTTTACAAACATAAATTGCACAAGGACAAACATCCAGACCCGGTACAATTATTTGTAGGCCATACAAATACTTGTTCCGTGCGGGATTCGAACCCGCAGCCCCCAGCGCAACAACTGATTGCTAAGTCACTGCGCCACGGAGCCGTAGCGTATTATATAAAATAACGCAATATTTCGTAGCAATATTGCCTTATTTATTACCGATATCGTTTATTTAATTATGAAAGACATTATTTTGATAATTTCGGTCCATGTACGATAATTCTACGCCCCTGGTACGATAGTCAGCTCGCTTCAAGTTGCTAACGCTCACACTGACCATCATATTATTATCAATATCTTCCTGTATAGGACAGTTACTATACTCTTTGTCAATATCATTTTATCTCCGCTAGGAGCTCAGAAGGGCTAGAACCCAGAGCCGTAAAGCCATTTAAAAAAAAATCTCCGCTAATAGTAAAACTATTCTGTCTGTGACAGCGTTGTTCTTGATATAATAAAGTAATATATGGCATTCAAGTATCTTAGGCAACAAAAATACGGTATACGGCAGCTATTTAATTACCGTATTAAAATATACGGTATTTGACTAAAGTAATCACAAATAAATATTTCGTATAACGAAACGCACCAACTTGTGAACACAGATAAAGTAGGAATGTCAAATGTTAAGAGTATTCAACTTAGACTCAACCTTATCATTGAGAATTTAATGTTTAAAATCTTTAGTTCCTCATTCTAGTAAGTTACTAAGTACCTTTACTCGGGTAGGTTCTAGGATATGTGGGGAATCCCCAGAATAATTGTTACTGCTGTGCTGTACCTATTGTGGTTTTGTCATTTAACGCTTTGTTTTGCTTTATGTACGATCTATTAGTTAAAGCTATTTTACGAATATTTTTTAAAGTTTTAATTGAAAATGAGTGATATATGAGTGTGATAATA